CTGGGTCAAACCTCAGCGTGCACACCCAGCAGGTCTTCAGGTACCCTGCCACAGGAGAGCAAAGCTTCAGAGGCACCTCCCAGGGATGCTGGCTTCACTGCTCCCCTCCAGGTTCCCTTCCAGCCCTCAGAAACTCCCTGGTCCCCACAGTTCCTCCAGCCATGGCCACCAGTAACTCCTGCAGGGCGCACCTCTTATAGCAGCAGAACATCATCATCACATTTGCCCCCAGCTGGTGTCCAGAGGGCTTGGTTGCATCTGCTGGGTGCCCTCCCTATCTTAATTGGCATCGTGCAGTCAGTGATATCTTAACAAGCAAATTGGGTCTGGGAAGTCACAGGAGAATTCCTATCTAAGTCATTTACATTAACCTCACAACCCAAGCACATTCACTCCGAGTGGTGTCAGACCACAAACCCACATCCCACGACCCCAGTCAGACCACAAACCCACATCCAGTAATGACACGAAGCCATTACTTCACTCACAAAGCCATGAGTCATTTGGGTATCATGTTCTTTTCCTCTTCAGTTACTGGGAGGTTTTCCCTCCAGCCAAATATTTGCATTTCACTGTTTATTTGAAAAATCAAGTGGGATCACAGACAAGATCTGATAAAATCAGACCCGGCCTGGAACGCAAGAATTCGAGGGGAGGGTGATGTTCCCATTGGCTGGTTCACACAAGAGCTGAGTGCTCTTGATTCAGAGAAAATCCACAAAAATATGGTCATGTCCAAGCATCCTGTGGGCCAAGCCCTTCTGGCTCTGAAAAAAGACAGAGGCAGTGCAATAAATCTCTCTGCATCCCATGGTTTGGGAAGAGTTTCCCATTCCCATCAACCTAAACCTACATGCCCCGCATCCACCGTAACTTAACTTGGGCACGGTGACAGCACTACATCTGTTGGCAATCCTGTTTCTAATGTGAGCAGAGGCAGCATGGGGGCACCTGAACCCTCCTTATTCACATCCCCAGTCCTTTCTTAACAAATCCAAACTGTGCAGCATGAGGTTAAAGTGTCAAACTCCTCCCTGCAGATCCTAGAATTAACACAAATCTGAAAAGTTGCTAAATAATTCACAAACAATTTATCAAAGGCTATTAGATATAAAGACAAAGCATCTGGCTTGGGAAATCCTTGAGTTGTGAATTTTTTGGAAGCTAAGAAAGTATCCTGGGGAAGTACCACCACAACCTTGCGTTGTTATTAAAGTCCTTCCCAGGTACCCATTAGTGGTTATTGAGAGGGAGGGGTCCCTGGGCTGCTGATCTGAGGTTGTACCATCATTTTCCTCCTCTTTGCAAGTTCTAAGATACTGAGTGGTTTCAAAATCAAACAACGCCAAAAACACGTGTAGTGTGGACACTGACACCGTTGGTTTCCCTGGAGGGATTGCTCCACACTGCTCGCTATTTTATACATCCTGTAAACTACGAGAAAGAGCATAGCGGGCTTGTTATTAAAACACGTGTAACATTCAAACAGGACACGACTGGGACCAAACACAATTATATGAGTAGTTTGCCAAATATAGCACTGTTGAAACCAAGGTAAGGATTGACTTTGAACTGCGAGGGGACCAGAATCAAAATTACTTCTCCACATTTAAGGACTGACCTTGGGAGAGGAGTAGCAGTCTCCTAACGGCAGACTCAAGCCTTTAACCTTCATAGCTCTCATGCTCAGAGCGGTATTTTGGCTGGCTGGGGTTTGTGGGTGTTTTTTGCTACTGGGAAAAGATTTGCTGTCAGTTTTAGTATAATTACCCCAATTAAGACAATAGAAAACTCTTCTGGCTTTCTGAGTACCTTTTTTCAGCCGTTATTATTCTCTTCTGGAAATGGATTTCATCTATTTGACACAGTTTCATATTTTAAAGATTCTTATGACATATTGTTCCTTTTATATTTTTCTGGTGGGACACCATGCTTGTCAGAAACACTCCTTTTCCTTATCCAGAACTGCTGTGACAGGAGGGATAGAGAGCATGAGATTTACCAGTTCTTTAATAACTTCTTCTTTAATTACTACTTCATTAGCAAAGCACATTCCTGCCACATCAAAATTAATGTTTTCTACTTCCTTTTGACAGATTCATCATTAAGCTAACATCAGCCTTTTGAAAAGATACGTAATCTGAAAAGCTACCTGTTCAAAGAAGTATTTCATGTATTCTGCATTGCACAGGGGAGAAAAGGACAGTTCAGTGGTTAGGACACTCTCTGAACTATTCATCTCCTTGTGCTGCTGCTGACTTCTTATAAATCTACAGGAAATCCAGTTAGTCAGTCTTCTTCTGCCCCAGTTTTTGGGATTCTTTGAAGAACTGCCCAGCCTATGTCAGAAAATGGTACATAACATGAAAAATTCCCAGTCCAACAGTGCTGTAAAACACACCCCTCACCACCTCCCCAATTCTGTGGGACCTGTTGCACATCACTGTCATGGCAAACAGTCCAGTGAACCAGGGAAGCATTTTTAGCAAAAGGAGGTGATCATTACCCATCTCCACACTCTCAGTGTGAGCAGTGACTGAGCTAAAGGCAGTGGCTTTGGAAAAGGCAGCGGCAAGAGCATGTTTGTGAATTTATTGCTGTATGTTTGTCACGTCGAAGATACAGAGCACATCCCTCACAAAGTACCTGCCCCGACATATCTGTCAGCTTTTGAATATGCTGCCACCTTGACTCGCTCTTGGAAGAGTTTTCTAATCTTAAATCATTTCTCTTCCACGTCGTTATTTACGAGTTCCTGAAGAGGCGGTGAGGGGAGGGCGCAGCCAGCAGAAAGGGGGGCTCCTGGGAAGGCAGAGGAGAGGAGGACAGCCTGGGCTCTCAGCGCTCCCCCTGACCCACCCGTGCTGTCGGGTGTTGTCTGGCACTTGGGAAAATGAGAAGGAAAACTTCCAAAAAGCTCCCAGGGTCGGATGCTCGGCTGGTACAACGCAGCATCCCTACCTCTGTGTACACCAGCCGGGGATCTGGCTCCTTTTACTCAATCTAGCTTGAATACCAGCGAGCACAAATTTTGTATTCTTAATCCATAATCACAGACAATCACCAGCCAAACTGTTTTTGATATTTAAACTTGTTTACAGTCCCCAGGCTATTAGTTGTGATGACACATTAAGAGATAAGAAAGCTTTAATTTTCTGAGGATAGTTCCACCCTCTGGGGATGAGAAACACGCAGCGGAAACTTGTTTTGATTAGCAAACTGGAGAGGGCACAGGAATCATACAAAGCAGAGGGCAAGTGCAGACGCTGCTGGAGCTGACACCTTCCCTTATCGCACAAAGAAGTGCTTGAATTTCCAAGCAGGGAGGAGAAGCTCCTGGAGGATTTCACCCCACTTGAACATCACTGCCAAAGGAAGTTTTATTCCTTTCCTTCTAACAAGTTCCTTTAACCTTATTTTCCTCCAAGGGCAGATGTGGGTGCTTGGCTCAGCTCCTGGACAGCCCCCAGGCGA